AATACGTTACTCAACAATCTATCCCAGTGTCAACTCCGCAAAATCTATATTAATAGCTTACTGTTCCTCGCCAACATAGCCACTCATCGACGTTTTAATTAACATCGTTCGTTCATATAGAAACACGAAACAAGACATGTAAACCATTTATCAAACATTCTTGATTGTCAAAGTACAACGCGTTGATGGGCCACATGAGGGGAAATGTCCATTTACAAACGACGGGGTCGAATTTGAATCTAAGGGTGAACCCGGATTTGCCCCACGGAGTAATAGAGATTGAAGGCCGCGCTGATAACATCGACGCCTATCTTTCCCCGCCGTATAGTGTAAAGATCGAGAGTCCAAGCCCAGGTACTGGCCTGCAAAAATATCTAATACAGGATGAATGTCAACCATCCGAACCGACATCGAGCACCGTTGCTCCAACTCCAAGACTAGCACGAGTAGACAAGATCTCAACGCGTCACCATCTTCTTCCAGGGGTATGGGAACGTTATAAAGAAGAGATCCACGAACTATACATTGAACAGAACAAGCCCCTAGTTGAGTTAATAGAGATTATGGAAAGGAAAGGCATCAATGCTACGTTAGTACTCGTAGTAGGGAGCAGATCATTATGAAGCCGTATACTAATTCGCAATAGATCCCGTATGTATAAGGCCAAATTTGCGCAATGGGGATTCGTCAAAAACAATAAGCATAAAGATGTGGCGATGATGTTACGATTGCAACGTGAGCGAGGTGCTGTTGGCAAAACTACAACTTTTCGTCGCCATGGGAGGTCAGTGGACATCGAAACTTACATGAAGCGAAAAGGTGTTGCGAATTTTGACCTTGTCACGCCTGTGACTGATGCCGACTTGCCGGCGTATCTACGAGCGCTCACGCCTCCGCCGGCCGATCCTCGACACATGACTCTTCCCTCCCACCTTCATGCACAGGAAGTTCTCGTTTCGTGTTTTAAGGATCTTACCTTAAGTCGGTATGACTCAACGGTAGCAACAGAATCTTTTGAGAACGATTTTGATCTATATTTCGACGGCGAGCTATGCGAAGCTACGAGGGATTTTAGCAGGGCCTGTTGGTTCTTCTCAAGAAACCACAATTCTCATGGTGCTTTGCTTAGTCAGCGAGCCTTCGCGTCATTGCATCTTATACTTAAATCACCCTCAGCTCTCGGTCTGTTCGACCTACTAGTAGCCAGCGTCATATCTCCAGACTATGGCCTCGTCAAGGAACTATGGAAGTACCTTGCAGGCTATGCAGAAGTAATATTGGGATCATCAAATACCCTATGCCGACTGTTCAAAGCTTTAAACGAGGTCTTTCGCAATAACCCGTTAGAAACCGGAGTAGATTTTATCTTCAACTGCATGGAAAGTATAATCGGCATGTTATTAGAGACGAACGACTTCGCACAGACTGTGGTGCCTTCCATCACCTTTTTCTTGTTAGGAGATCTAATTCTCTTCAATTCATCAAGGACCAATTTACCATCCCTTCAGAGGGCAGTGACTTCTGTGTCAACGCTATCTTCTTCCCAAGGGAAGCAGCCCTGCCCAAGCGTAGTAAGATTCATTGAACCAGCAGGATACCTCTGGCAAAATGGGCCCTACGATGACCATTCTGCCCAGCTCGCCTACTCATCTCTTCAACTCGTAGATGAAGTGTCAGATCGGTATGATTGGACCTATTGGGTATCGTGGCGCGTCATTGCCCACTTTCATCGAAGCCGATGTGACGTAGATGGCTCTGCGCCGGGTCATCATCCGCGACATGCACTGGCCCGATACGCCCTAGAAAGGGCCATTGATGCCGCTGAGGCCGGGCGTGGCTTTAGCGAATCACAAATATTTGAGAACATGCAGACTCTAGAAACCTGGCATCGCGAGGCGGGTGATACAGCACAAGAATTGGCGGTGCGACAGCGGAGAGAAAAGGGGTTACATGATTATTACCAGTCACTACAGAAAGACCATTAAAGGGCTATACCTTAAACGAGCGATTCGAGATAAAAACTCCAGTCATTTCTGGCATGTTCGGCCTTATAAAAGGCAATTTTCTTGGATCGACATGGATGCGAATTCTACACATTACAAGTGCCAGACATAGCAACTCCATTCTACTCAAAGAGGGAACGACATAAGTGCGTTGCGATAATTCGAGCTATGAACTCGGAATAATATGATATGTTTCATAGGTAGCGAATTAAATTATTACATTCTATGCATCCTCATTATCGCATGTCGTAACGCTTCCCAGTCTGTTACCGTCCAATCAATAACGCCAAAGGTGCGAGAGTAACATTATGCTCCTCCCGACATCCTCCTAGTAATACTATGCATGCAACTAATTTGGAAAGTAACCATAATTAGGGAAAATTGAAGGGTCCTGCGATACTTATATCGCACCGATCTTCTCATCCCACCAAGCCTTCCAATCAATATACTTCCGCCCCGTCCTCGCCTCCTCGGCCGCGAACACCATCGCATGGCTCCTAATTATCTCTTCAAGACTACACCCGATATACTCGCGCTGCGCCCGCGGCGCCTCCCACCCATGATTCTTGACGCGGTCCACAGCCAATATGAAGTTCCGCGTTATGCCATGGTCTCCTCCACCGTGGCCCAAACTTTCTAGCTTGGGGTGATACGACCTCTGCTCGCCCGTCTGGAAGTCCTCAACGGTAATGGTCCGCGAGTCGGCGTAGATCTCCCCCGTCGTGCCGTACACGTACGTGAAGCGGTGGCACTGCCTCTTCGTCTGCGCGATCATGTGGAAAGTCGCCTGTTTCGCGCCGCGGTGGCCCACGCTATCACTATACCCTTCTTGCTCGGAGGCCAGTGGGTCTTCGTCCCATTTTATCGTCACCGTCTGTTCATCGCACACGTCGTTGTCGGACTCGAACACGCACCGGCCGAACCAGTTCCGCGCGTCGATTTCTGATTGCGGGGTTGAGTCGTCGTAGTCTTCGGCGAGGACTTGGAGTAGCTTGGGCCGCGCGGCGGCGATGTCGCCTCCGAAACTCTCGATGTCCGGGAGTACGACGCTCATGGGCCATCGGATGTTCCCCGTTTCCAGGCCTTGGTGCCGCGTGCTTTCGTACACGCGCTTGCTGGAGTACATGCACGACGGCTCGGCGGCGCAGCTTAGGCAGTTGGTGGCGTCGCCTGCGAGTTTGGGTTTCCGGCTGCGCTTGAAGAATTGTAGGGACCCGGACGAGGATACTTCGGACGGGATGTGCGGGGACGTGTCTGACTCCGGGTGTGTGGGCGAGCAGAGGAGCCAGAGGATGATGTCGATGTCGTGGCAGCTTTTGGTGAGGAGGGAGGGCGCTGTCGTGGATTCTTTGCGCCAGTTGCCCCGCACATATGAGTGCGCGAAGTGCCAGAACCCGACGGGTTCTGTGTGTACGATGCTTAGGATATCGCCGATAGCGCGCTCTTCTAGGAGGAGTTTGCGGAGCAGTATGTTATGCGGTGAGTACCTCAATACGTGACCGACTGAGAATACCTTGGTTGGCTGCAAGGGAGCTACTGCCCGGTAGATGCCTACGCAGTCGTCTAGCGTTGTGGCCAAAGGCTTCTCGCACATGATGTGCAGGTTTAAGGGTGCGAGGGCGACCACGACGTCGTGGTGCATCTCATCACGAACGCATACGAACGCTGCGTCCACGCCCTCGGGCACATCCTCCCCGGCAGCCTCGCGCTGCCGTCGCCGAACCTCCCACTCGATGAATTCACGCCAGTCGGCGAAGCTCGAACCCTCGGGAGCTGGGTTCTTAGCATCGGACCAGATGAAAGTGCGAACATAATCCTGTCGCTTGTAGATGTCAGGCTCGCAGACAGTGGCAATTACACCGTTACTGGATTGCAGGGTGCACCGCCCGTAAACACGACCTCGCGAGCCTGCTCCAATGATGAGGATACGCGGCGGTTTGGCGGATAGAGGGGGTGGTGTTGGAGGCCTGACTTCGGTTCCTGCGGGCTCGTTTTCGAGGTCCGCGGGGCCTTCGTCTTGGATGTTGTGAGGAGCCATTGTGGTGGGCTAATGAGCCTATCTGTATAGGGACGAGAGGAGCAAGTAATAGAAGTAGTCTTTAATTTTAACTGAGCGATAAAGCCCTCGGTTTATGAAAAGACCTTGCTGAATACCTAGGTCTGTTACTTGATACCTGAACCATTGACGAAATTAAAGATAATGTATGAATGACATACGAGATCTCACTAGAGACGGTTTACACACGTTTATTGGTATGTAAGTCATGAAAATGATATTATCTTAGCTCACGAGCATTTTAATACAGATGCACCAGATGGGTAGATGGGAGATTTCATCTACTTGATATACTTAAGTTTTAGCTGCAGATATAAGACATAGGAGGAGAGATAGAGAGAGCCGATGAGTTGTGTCGAAGCATGGAAACCCAAGGTTCAGTATCGGCCTATCAGGCGATAACCGATTTGTTACCGAAACGTTCTTAGTGGCTGCCCTATCGCAAATGGGGCGGCGGCATAAAGAAACAGGAAGCAAGAAGCAAGAGCATTAGCGCTTGGTGACCTCGACTTCAAGACTGGACCTGCCATAATTGGGTTTGTGAACCGATATAGACATATGTTGAATGTTTCTTGAAATTTTTATGCGAAGTATAAAAAAGAAAATCCTGATGCGACGTCAAGAATATGATAAAACAGGGGTGATCATCATGTTTAACCCCATATCCCGAAAATGCATTGTGACGTTATGTACCGCACAGCTTCAAGACAAGGGAATTGAACATGTAAAGCCATGCTCAATCAACAACCCCTTCCGCAAAACATGCAAATACTATACTCTATTTCGTTTTTTGAATAGTATTAAAAACAAGTCAATAGACAACGAAGACTTAGTTAACCAGCAAGTTATTGGCAGGTAGCACCCCACAGCCCCTGGTGCTTTCCATTATAGTTTGCATTTGAGCTAGTGCTTACAATTCGATGATGCAAAAGCAAGATGAGGGGCGTGTAACTCAGTGGTAGAGTGCTCGCTTTGCACCGGATCTAGTCCTAACAGTGTATAGTTTGCGAGAAGCCCAGGGTTCGACTCCCTGCTCGTCCAATATTTTTGTCCCGTACAAGTATATTAAACATTAGGTTTCGATTTGTGTCATTTTTCTGTCTCTTTTTGCCCATGCTTCTCTAGTCTAACTAACCGCATCAGTTGTCAACATGGTTGTGTTCTGTACCAACACGGCTCTGCTCAATCGCATCTGAGATCTAGCGGGATTAATTTGCATATAACACCCATTTGTCCAAGTACATCGAAAAATCTGCCCTTCGTTTACTGGTCATTGGGGATAATAAATTTGAACATCTAGCTCCAAGCCACATTCAATGTAGCAAAGGGGTGCGTGCGATTTTACGCGGGTCTTCTCTTTTCAATCATGCAAGGAGTTAACAGCGTCTCAAGAGTAGGTAAACTTGGACTTAACCTACTAAGGGTAGAACCAGCTATTGGGATAAATCTAATTTTTCAAGTTTTTTTAAGAGGTATATCACCCTCTTATTCCCACCCACAGTATCATCAACTGGCATTAACGAGTGATTCGCTTTATTACACTATGTTTCTTAAGCCAGTGCTACACCCATACGATAGCTAATCCAAAGAGCCACCAGGCGCCCCTTCAATCCCACGCCGTGTCCCCTCCTCAATGATATTATTCATCTTAGTCATCTATAAATAAGTATCAGATCCTGCCCCTATACAATTACTTCGAACACTGCTGTGTGTAGACGTTGGCCAAGAGATCTACTGGCCCAGTAGCTCGCGAGCTAGTTGAGTTATGTCGTCTTCGCTCAGCTCCTGTCCTTTGACTTTCTCGGCCTTGGCGACGTCAAAGCGCCACAGACCTCCCGTCTTATCAGCATCGCCGTTCGAACTTAAGCCGACATTGGAAGCCAAAGCTTCAAACGTCGCATCTGGCTCAGTCGCAGCAGTAAAGTACCTGCGCTCCCACTCACGGCCCTCGGTTTGTTCCTTCTTTCGCATCGCACGCTGTGCTTGTTCAATCTTAGCCTTCTCTTTCCCAACGTAGTCCATATCTCCCTTCGCGATACCTGCGGCGACATTGGCCCATGCGCGTCTCGACTCGAGGGGATGTTGCTTCTCGGGAGGGGCAACTATAAGCTCGGCGATAGGGTTGTTGGTGGGGTCCCAGCTCTCAAGGAGGGTCTTCGAAGAATTATTCTTCACTGGCCCGGAATGAATCTCAAATGCCTTCGTCCACTGGCCGGAGCAGTTGTAGATCACTTCCTTTTCCTTGCCTGTTGGATATAGAGTCGCCGTAAATGAGTTCTTCTTACCGCTGATCCAACCCTTGCCACTATAGTCGATCTTAGCCGTGTATCCTGTTGATGAGGTGATGTATGATGCGCTATCAAGCTCGATGAAGGGCGCGCCGAATATCAATCCCTCGACGTGAAGCGATGGTAGAGTGATCAGGAAGGTATCATTCTTCCCAGGATTGGAAGGGTCGGGGACCGTAAGTACCGCGTGTCCTATCTGTTTGATATTGATCGTCTTAGAGAAGCTAGCCTTCTGGGCGTTGTATCCTTGGAGGTGGACTTTGGAAGGATGGTTGATAATGCTGTAGGCGGTGGCTGGCGGATGGTGGCTAAGCTGTTGGTCAATAGAGGGTTCACTCGGCATGAGAAAAAGTAGTTCTATTAGACATACTTCACCTGCTCGCTGATTAATTCGGTTGTACCAGCGCTATCCTCCCATTTACCAAGGAATAGTTCGCCTAAGAATGGGTTGAGGGGCTTCTTCTCATTTCCGTATTGCTCGCTCCGACTTGCATATTGCTGCTTGAGAGTAGTCAAGAACCATTTCAGCACTAGCAAGGCCCTCTTCGCAGGATCCGGTTCGCTTGCAGGCGCCGCGAAGACGCCGGGGTGCTCAGCCCAGTATGAACTGAACTCGGTGAGACTCGTGGAGGAGAGGATGAAGGGCGGGGCTGTCAAGGAGGAGAGATCGCCATTGAAAGATGCGATGGACTAATCCAAGTATGTGTTAACAACAGGGAGCAAGGTAGAAGTTGTGATATAACTACTAAATATTAACTGACTTTGAGGAATGCGGTCCAACTAGAACCAGCAGCCTGGGCATTTGGTGTGACTTCCGACATGATGATGTTTCCAACTGATTGCCTACGGCTTCACGGACACCACAGGGTTCGGATGATACCGTATGTAGTCGGCTAAACCCCCTAACTTGAAGATCAAGAACTGGATTTCAAGTTTTTGTGAAAAATAATAAGGCACAGGATGGGCAAGATGATGTATTATTATCTTGCTATCTTGGCGGGGAGAGTTCCACAAGGGATCTAGATCTAAGAATACGAGTTATGTTATTCGATAGATCGACAAGCTGTCCCAAGGTTGGGTCGCGTGTAGGGCAGGGCGGGTAAACAAAGCTTCTTGTGATTCTGGTGCTACTTGTTTTCGGAAGAAACGGAAAAGGGTTGGTATCACAAAACTGAATCAAAAATTTGGGTTCCCCTTTCAGCTGAAGTGTCAGGTCGGCGGTTGTCGGATTAAATGAGTAATAGACAATGCTAAGGTTTAGGGAGAGCAGGAAGGCGGCTGCACCACTTTTGAATTTGACGTCAAAAATACACTTCCCCACACGTCATCGGCTCCTTACTATTAAGCTAGTACCCCCAATACCCCCCAGTAACGCTGCTGGGTTTGCCTAGCTTGCTTGGCTGCGAGTTAGCGCGATCTGGCATCGGCCTAAAATTACGTGCCCAACCTTGGGATCTAAGGTTTAGGCTACAACACCACCTGCCTATACCGGACTGAGGCTTGGGATGACATAGTTAGGGAAGAACCTACCTGTAGCTGATTAGCTTCTTACCTGCAGCTGTATGAAATAGAAACTCAATTGAGGTTACCTACCTAGTATGTAAGAAATATACTATCAGGCACATATAGCATAGCGAAGGTACTTTACTTACGTACGAATGCTTAAAGTATTATATGTGTACAATATCTTCGGAATATATGAACGGCTCAAATGTATCGTGCAGCGTCACATTGCATCCCCAATACGCATTTACCAGAGATTGGCATCATATATCCACTAAAGCTATACGCACGAGATAGGAGACACTCATCACGCGGTGGAACCGTGTGCTTCACAGTCAGTGGTCATCGCCCGAGAACTCTACGGCCAACGTCAATGTGTAGGAAGACTGTTGAGTCCTATTAGGATTAAGATGCTCATACGATCCATTACAAATTACAGTCCGTCCCGGGTATCGTTCCAAGTCATGTGCTTCCCCCTTGCGAAGTCTATAATATCGTCCGTCCGACCAGCATTTCCTTGCCGAATGAGACACCCCGCGTATATCATACCCGCCCCGTATATATATACAGAATAAAATCTTAAAAAAGAATTCAGACGTGAAAATCTTATCGTGGAGAATGGCATGTGCTCTCTAGCTTCTCGGCTAGCTTCCCATTTATGCCTGAAAATCGTCCCTCGACGTGATCTCCAACGATTGCCCATCGCGCAAAGTGACACTGTTGCCGCCCTGGATCAAATGTCCAAGCCAGGCATCCGACCGGATGCTCATGGCAGATTCTGACACACTCCTCAACTTCCGTGACTTTATCCACGGTCGTACTATACTCGTCAAGTCGCCCGACATAATCCACATTGGGTCGAATCGGTTCGGCGATGAACGATTGGAAGCTTGGCGCACCATAAATCTTCCCCATTTGCCCCCAGAATACGGGGGCTGTCATGTTCTTAAAGGTTTCGCCCACATGCATCATAGCATCACCGCTACCAAGACCATGGAATGAAACTAGAGGCAAACACCACCGATCGACCCACATACGCGTCATCCAAGGAGGCTCGCCATTGAAGAGGCGTCGATATGTTTCGTCCAGGTAAACCCCGATCTTCATAAATGTTGTAGATAGCAGTTTGTCACCCCAGATCGCTGTAGGTGACTCTTGATGACCCTCAGCAACGACTTCGGGGTGTTGGTCGTATAGCTTGCTCAGAGCAGCACCGGACATGACCACAGACGATCCGCCGTGTGGGAAACGGCCTTTGTAATCGCCTACCGGATTCCCGAGAAATTGTGGCTTGGCATAATTCAGATGTCCAAGAACCAGACTCAAAGACGACTTGACGATGTATGTGTCATCGTCTGCCATGATGTACCACTTCTTCTTCGGTAGGGTTTGCCAGGCATACTCGAGACTGGGAAGGAACTATACTTTGATTAGTTGATATTCGCTTGTTTGATGTTCGTCGTGGATGTCTAACCTTCATTGCATCGAGCTCCCATCCCATATCTTTACCTAATCCATCGGCGAGCATCCATTCTTCACCGTCAACAGCGTCGGCAAGGTTCGCGTATTTCATTACACGTTCCTGCTGCTCGTGACCCTTGAGGGCCCCTCGTTCCAAGTTCCATCCAATGATATCAATAACCGGCACCTCTTTGCCATTTGCGAAGGTATAGTTTCTTTGGTCCGGGAGTAGGGGAAAGTCCTGTGTGACTATAGTGTCGGCGTAAAAGGATTCGTTGCTTAATGCTCGTAAGGCTGCTGGAACTCGCCGTTTTGTTCCAAAACCTGTCTTTACTATTATGGCGATATCATTATTAGGGTCGATCGGATAACGTTGAGGTTTGAAGAGCCAGGAATCGGTCGGATGGACGTTTTGGTAATAGTCTTGGATGACATTATGTTGGAATCTAAAGAACGATCTTGGTCGGCTGTCATATGGTGTCAAATTATAAAGAACGAAGAGAAAGGACAGCACGCCTATTATTATCTTCTGCGGGCGTGACAGGCGCGTAATACAAGAGCGAATGGACCTTCGCTCGGCGATCCCCATTGTTGTGGTTCACTACTTTTTGTTGATTGACCGATGTGGTTCTACAACCAAAACCGACAGCCACAGAATGCCGACCGAGGAGACGAGGAACATGCGTACGAAATGCAGGAGGTGGAATGTTTGAAAAAGATCGTGCGAATGATTCGTAGATGGCCGGGATGTAGGACAAACACAGGCGATGAGCACCTGCGAGATGAGTA